GTGTGTTACTGAGGACTGAGCCCACACATGCTAGGCAAGCTCTTCACACCAAGCTATATATAGCCCAGCCCTCTTTTTTTTCTTTTTGAGACAAGGTCTCACTAAGCTATCCAAGCAAGCTTTGAACTTCCAGTCCTCCTCCCTCAGCCCCCCTGAGTAGCTGGGATTACAGACCTGAGCCACCAGGCCCAGCTCTCTCATCACTCTTAATTTAAATTTAGAGTCTTAACAAATGGTAAAATAAAGACTTTTTTAGGGTAGTGAAGGAACATCTTTTACCATCTATTTTTATTTCCGTTTTTGCACAAATTAGGGAAATGGAATTATTGTAGAGGTTTTTTGAAAAATTCTGTTTTTAAAAAAGAGATTGTGTACTATTTGAGTGGAGATCAAATTTCAGTGGCTTTTAGACAGTTAGTGGAAACACCAGGTTAATGGGACATCTTGAATAAACTAGTTATTATCCATGACTAAAGACAAGTTTGAAATAAAATTGAATCTCTTAAATGGAAAGGCAGACAATATTTCCTCCCATAGCACATCTGTTTGTTTAGGCTGACTGACTAATCCTTTTAAGAAGTTGCTGAACTTCCCCCAAGTGCTGAAAACCAAATTCTATTTTTAAAATGGCTCAGAGTCATCCTGTCTTCATGCATGTACTCTAAGTGTTTAACAAAATAGATAATTATCTTTGTAGACTAATGATTTCTTAGGCCTAAACTCAGTCAAGTCTTTCTTAAAGTTGTATGCTTAACTAATGGCAAATTGTGAAACATTTTCAGAGTATTGGGGAAAAATAGTTCCCAAAAGTTTAGGGAGCTGGGGACAAAGGAGTTGGTTTTGTTATTTTTTTAGATTTTAGTGTTATATCTCTGATAACATGAGAATAGCAAACTGTCTCTTCAGAACTGTGCCTTGGCTGTAAAAGTAGCTAAATCATGGCAATAGATGCTGTGAAGTCCTGTCTTTAAGCTACATGAATTTTGGACTGATTACTCCATCCCCAAATGGATTCCATTAACAAAGTGTCTCAAACTGAAATGAAACTTACGTGGTCTTAAAGCTTCTGAATGCTGACCTTCATTCTAGAGACATTCTTGCTTTCCTTTGAGCCCATCTGTTAAGCTCGGCAGTCAAAAGCAGTTTGTTGCTTAAATACTGATAAAGACTACAAAAGGCTGATTCTAAAGAGTGGGCTTTTGGTCAACTTTGCTTTGGTTGATTACTTCTTTACCTGTCCAGAACAGCCCAGCATTTAACAGAGTAAGCTCCTCCATTGAAACTGGCTGTTTCCACCAGCCCTAACCTAGGCAAATTATTAGGTAGGCCTCCCATTTCTTGTATAAAATCATGTCTGCCTTGCAGGCTGGTGTGAAAATTAGATGGGGAAATGACTTCCATATCACTTAGAATATAGCCAAGCATGTAATAGGTAGGCATGCCAAGCCCCAAGAGGCTAGCTGTTCTCACCTCGCTTTCTAGAGCCCCTTCCTTCCCTTCCCTCTGCTCCTGTTTCTACTCAACCTGTCTCATCTCATGTGTTTCTCCTCATGATTGTCAGGCAATATTAATGTTTAACTACTTGTTATTGCCTAATCAGATTTTCTCATTTTAGTCTTTTCTTAATACAACTGTTGCATTTCCCCATGGTTTTTTAAAGAATGCTTTCAGTTTTTGTGTCTTGATTAGGTTGACAGATTTTTAAATTTCCTTTCCAAGGTAGTTTCATTGAAAATGAAGGAGGAAAGAATACCTATTTAGTTAATGTGCCAAGACTAAATGATTTGTAATGGCTGATAACTGTCATCAAGGTGTATCTTGTAGCACAAATCCTGGCTTTGGTGGTATAGAGACTAGAATACTTAACTATAGACATGACTCTTATGGATGACCCTGTTATAGCTAGTAATTTAGAGCAAGCATGCTCTGTCTTGTATTAGGAGTCTATACCATGAATAGATGGTGACAAAAACCATTTACAAATTCTTGCTTATGATTTGTCTCTAAGATAAGTTTTAAATGTTTTTATGCCATTAATACAGGACCTGAGAAGAAGTTGTGGCAAGTAGCCATTTAGCCTTTGGTTAAAAACAGTGGATATATTAGTTCTCCATTAATATTATTTCTTTAAAACTTTCCCAGTTCATTTTTGTGGACCTGATCTTATTATGTAGATATAATTAAGATGTATTTCCTAACATTGTGTATATTTTGTAATCTTTTGTTCTCAGTATTATTTATACTATGCTAAGGTGCTAGTCTTTACATGAACATTTATTTGTGGTTGGGAACAAAATAATTTCAATGGTAAATAGGATAGTTTCTTTCTTTGTTTTATTCACTTCGTCAGTGAGGTTTTCCCATGTGGTAAGCTCTGTGGTTTTGTAGGTATTAGAACATACACCAGCATTCTCTAAGAAAGAAGCAGTGTTTTACATGTTTTATTTTATCCATGTATACTGAGACCTTTTTTTTGTTTTGACAGAGAAACATATGTTTAATGAGTTCATATTTCTTAAAATACACATGATTCTTCAGACTGGAATCTATTGAAACAGACTCCCATTTGAAAGCCAAAGAGTGAAGTCTACACAACACAGATAAAACTGAACAAATGATTAGCCAGAGGCTAACAGAAATACTAGAATGATAGATTGTATATTAGAAGAAATACCTTATATTCGTTGTAGGAAGTCTTCATTTCTTGTTTTGAAGGTACTTTTGTCTTCCTATTCTCTCTCTCTCTTTCTCTCTCAAAATGTAGTTAATTAGTCCTAAGCCAGTTTCAGAAAATTCTCATCTACATTTCTTTAATGTATTGTGCATGCATAGTTCTTTGGAAAACAGAATAGTATAAAGACTCCAAATCTTTGGTTGGAGAGGGTTAATAGAATCCTTTTCCTGTTCTGTGCCCAGTTGATGGTATTTTTCCTTCTAAGAAAATGGAACAAGGTAGAAGACATTTTCACATTCAGCCAGCTATAGTAGTACACATCAGACATGTTTGCAGACTTGTCTCAATAGCTTTTGGTGAGAAGTCACATTTCTTCTAAGGAAAAAGAAGTAGTTGTAAATCACAAAATAAGTGTATCCATATCTTCATTGCAGAGAAACAATTATTTACTTCCCTGTTTTTAATTTAACCTTGCCATAAATACCTGCTGTTTACTTAATAAACAAAAGACTTACTGTGTGCATGTGGTCATCTCTCTTTCTGCAAATGGGTCCCATTTTTCTCCAGAGCTAGATCATCACTCAGATGATCATAGCTTGAGAATCTCAGGTACTTTATAGTGGGTTGACCAAGAAATACCCACTATTCTTAAAGTACTGAAACTTTCATTAAATTTCCTCCAAATTTTTATTGTTCAGACTTGGCATTCATTGGTGTTCTTAGTTTTTATAAGTCCAAGGAGAAAGTAAAATGCTTCCTGAAATATAAAAGAAGTAATAAAAAGTAGCATGCATATAGAATACACTATATTTCATGGGACATTTTCATTGGCTCTTTTAAAATATATATGCATGTATATACACACAGACGCACATGCAGACTTCATCTCTGGGAGAAAGATTCTTGCTCTGTTAAACTGAAATTTGACTCCAAATCAGCTGTATATCCATGTATCTTAAATATTTAAGATTTCCGATCTATATTTGCATAAATGCATTCTATATTCCATGACCATATTTATGTTGGAATGTTTACAGAATCTGTGTGCGTATGTATACATGCGTACATGTGTACAGGTGTCCATAGAGTCCAGAAGAAGGTGCCAGATTTCTTTGAGCCACCAGTGGGAACCAAACTCTGGCCTTCTGCAAAAGCAGCAAGTATTTTTTTTTTTTTTTTTTTTTTTTTTTTTTTTTGGTCTTTTTGAGACAGAGTCTTCCTGTAGCCCCAGCTGGCCTGGAACTTGCTATATAGACCAGACTGGCCTTGAACTCACAGAGATCCACCTGCCTCTGCCTCCAGAATGCTGGGATTAAAGGAGTGTGCCACCATGCCCAGCCTCCTTTTAAAAAATATTTTTTTTAATTTTATGTGTATGAGTGTATTGCATGCATGTGACTGCACCCATGTCATGCAGTGCCATGGAGGTCAGAAGAGGGTGTCAGATCCCCTCGAACTGGAATTAAGGATAGTTCTTAGCTGCCATGTGGGTACTGGGAATCAAACCCAGGTGCTTTGCAAGAGCAGTCAGTGCTCTTAACTGCTGAGCCATCTCTCTATAAGAGCAGTAAATATTCTTAACCACTGAGCCATCTTTCCAGAATTTCTCTTTGGATGGCTAGGAGGAATAGTGTCATAGTTAAAGTGATATAAAAGCTAGTTATTTCTCATATGCTATCAGATACAATATAAGAAACAGTTCTAGCTTTGGTTTCTGACATACACAGATGGGCTCTGTTAATAAAAAGGAACAAAGTTTGGAAGTTCTATATCCTTAACAGGCTTAATGATCTCTAATGAGTCTTTTAAATCTGTTTAGGGAACAACTTTAAGTATAATTTATTATTTTTTTCTCTTCTTACCATGTAGCAAAGAAAGGAAGAGAAAGAGGGTCTCGGATTTTGGAGAAGGATATTTCTTCCTAGTGAAAAAAGAACAAGTGGTCAGTTATTAATTATATTGAACTTATGTTTCTGTGCTTAGTGTGGCTAAATTAATCTGTAATGCATTGGATGGAAGAGATATGTGTAAGAGAGTTTTTGCAAAGCTTGAAACAAAATTTCATTATAAATAGCCTATTCCAAAGCCTTTTTTCTTATCTTTGGGTTTGAAATGTAGACAAAGGTTTTATAATGAACTTACCAACCCTTCTACTCAACAGAGGTACTTAACTTCATTCCTGGCATGTACGTATTTGGCACAGTTCATTATGAGTTATCATCCATATGTTGTCTTGATCCTGTGGACATCTGTGTTCCTCGATAGATTACTCTAAATGGTTAAACTTGATAGACTTCTAATAGGAATTCTTTCTGTTCTTTTGCAGCTATGTCATCCTATCTTCTAATTATTAAAACAGAGCTCCCTGCTGCTATTTCAGAGCTTTTGCCTGGAGACTACAGTGGGTAAGAGAAAAATGTTTCACGTTCTGTTACTAATTCAATAAATATTTATGAAGCCCTGGTTGCAAGTGAAACAAATGTAGTTCTGTCCTCAGGTCACTTAGAGGTTTTGTGAGGTGGAGCAGCAGTAGAGAAAACACTGCAGATGTTCACTACTTGCCTACTGTGCTCTCAACCTCCAGAGCCTCAGGCAGGGTCCTTGTGGCCTTTGAAGGCTGAGACAAGTCAAGTCTGAAATAGCTCCTAGGGAAAAGTGAAGAAGCATCTAAGGATGTGAAGGATGGAGGAAGACAATGGGAGAAGGCTGCCGGTATTGGCAGGAAAGACCTTAAAGGGAGACAGTAAATAATCCTTCTTGTCACTTCTCTGTCAAGCCCAGAGACAAAGAATGTGGCAGTTACAGCCATGTGTGCAATTCATATTACACCACATGATAAATTATGTGTGTACTGTTGCACTTGTACTTTTCTTAATATTATGTATGATTCAAAGCCCTTTCTCCTTCTTTATTTAACAAGTGCAGGCTTCTAAAGAATATATTGACTCTTCTCTTTATTGGGGACAGAACCCTATAAAGAACCCACTCAATTATGCTTTTCTTTTCACTATGTAGAGGAAGAGTCCTTTTTAGGAAAATAAACATGGAAAGATGAATAAATCCCATTTGTTAACTGTCAAGTGATTTCATACAGTTTTCAAACCACAAAAAATTAAAAAACAACTGAATTCTAGATTGGAATAATTGGTTGGTTTTCTCTAATAATTAAACTTGCCTGGAATGAGAAGAAAGTTTTTAAAATTTAGCTTTTAGCTTAGACAAGCTTTTGGCTTCTGTTAAAGAATTAGGTGCAGACGCTTATTTGTAAGGAGAATGTGGCTATTTTAGATCTGATTAGGAAACATCCCAAAAATGTGTTAGGAGCTGGAGAGATGGCACAGCAGTTAAGTGCACTGGCTGTTCTTCCAGAGAACCAGGGTTCAGTTCCCAGCACCCACATAGTGGCTAACAACCGTCAATAACTCCAGTTTCAGGAGATCCAACACCCTCTTTTGGCCTTCATGGGCATTGCATGCATGTGATACATAAAAGCAAAACAGTCATACACATAAAATAAAATTTAACCATCAAAAAAACTTTTTTAATGTTTTAAAATGAAAGTAGCACAAGCCTTGATCTTCTGTCCTCAGATGTCCTTTATGTAGGACATGAGGGCTCACGAGGTTCCCACAGACCCAACTACCTTGATTTATTACTGACCTTGATTTATTGCTGGCTTATCTGGTTCATTTTGATTTTCTGTTCTCAGTTTGATAGCTGATTGCTGTAAGAAGTAGCTATGAAATGCACTTTTTGTATTTGTTGTAAAATCACTGATAACCACCTCTGTTATTACAATTCTGTGTGAGAAATTTATATACAGGACTAAGAACTCAGAAAAGCTCAACTAAGTAAAGAAACATGTGTCCTATCCATTTAAACTTGTAGTCTTGGGAATTTATCTCTTGACCATCTAACTTGACTTGAACCTTAAGTTTCTTTACCCGATATAATAGGGGTACAAATAACTTTACCTTTGTTGCTTTCTTAGCAAACTTATTAGGATGATCAAATAAGGTGTTTACAGAGACATGCTTAAAAGCAATGTGGAGAACTAAGCAATTCTAATGGCAGCAATCATATAAACGGTAACATTTTCTTTTTTTATTCATGTTGCCAGGATGCTCAGTGTCAAATATGAGTGTATCACATAAACTGTTCCTTCTGATACTGTCACATGTCACCTGTAATTTTGTTTTGTTTGTGTATTTATTGTTTTGTTTGGGGTCCTGAATTTGGTGGCTTGTATTTACATGTTTTAAATAACATGTACAATTTTAGAAATAAAGTACTATGTGGCAGAATTGGTTTTGAAACTTAGGTCTTTTGTCTCCAAAACTGGTGTTCTTACCATCACTTTATTTTAAGTTAAATGTCATTTATATTTTTGTCCCACTATGATTTATTTTAAAAATTAAAATTAACTCTCATTTCACTTATTTGTGAAAAAGTTGATGTATCACAAGTGGGTTTTTTAAAGTGTGTGCTTCATAAGTGGTCTCACCAGTTGGCATCATCCTTGATGTTTTACGTTTGAGCATGTTTTTAACAACTTCATAGTGTTTTGTATGGGATATATTCATTTACTTTTGAATTTCAATGTTTGGAAAAACTTTAATAAGTAACTATATTAATTGGCTACAAGATTTCCTCTTTAAAGCTTAGTCTTGTAAAATCATTCAGAAACAATTGTTATGGCATTTAACATTACGTTTTGGGCAGTTTATTTCTAAATGGAGTTACATAGCGGCATTTCTAAAGTGAGATTAGATGATATTGATATTTTATTTTAGGGATTAATTTACCATAAGTTCTTCAGTAAGCTCTTTGAGGTGGGCTTATTTTCTGGGTTATCTGTGGGTTTGAAGTAGCTTTATGAAATAAAAACTTTATGAAGATGCGATCATAAAGCACTTTGTGTTCATCAAATTCTCGTCTCAAAAAATCACATTGGAAATCCAGAGCTGTAGTACTTGTACTAAACTCATATGATACATCTCTGATTTTCCTAAAATAACTTGTATTTTTTTAAGTCTATGGTTGTTAAAAGTTGGAAGCTCTCTGTTAACATTTAGTGATCTTGTCAGGGGAATATGATTGACACAATTAAGTTGTCTTCCATTTGAGTTACATAATTGACATGGGATGTGAGTAAGATCCTAATTGAGAACATATGATACTCTTGTTCCATTCTGTTCAAGAATGAAATTAAAGTAACTTATAAATAAATCTGGTTTTCATTAAAAAATGGAAAAAGCATCTGCATGCCAAAGCATTTGTAATACAGCTAAGGATTTATATTCTGTGCTTCATAGTTGGAACATTTTTATCATATAGGATTAAATCCATAGATCAAACAAGTTTTCTAGGAAGTATAAACTTTTTACTGTAATTCTCTTGGATTAAAGATAATGTGTATCTAGAGCACAGTAGGAAAACAGGAGTTCAGTTAGATCATTCTTTTTCTCCCTCTTAGGAAAAAAATTGAAGTATAGTACGTTTTCCTAAAATCTTTGTTTAGAAAATAAATTTATTTAATATGTATTTTTTGAGATTGCTTTTCGCTGGTTTGTATTCTTGGGCCGAGGTTTTACTTTGCAATCTTAATCACATCTGTTCTTTGGAAAATCTCCATTGCCAAACACAATTCAGTTAGTTGTGTGGGGCATGCATGTGAAATGTGAACTCACTCCACTATACATTACTCTGGCCTTTGCCAATAGTGAATAAATGATAAGGAAAATCACTGTATTTGCAATTGTTTTTTATTAATGGTGGTCGGTACAGGTAAGAAATGATTCATAATAACCACGCACTAGGCCCAGAGAAACTCTGTTTAACAATAAAATCCTTTGACCTTGAAATGGAGGAGAGAATATCTGAAATAAATGCAGAGTGGCCCCTGAGGATGCCACTGTCACAAGCCCATTGTGGGTTTTATAGGCATGAAACTGCTGAATGAGGTGGTCTGTGACTCCCCTACAACCCCAGCATTCCACAGCTGAGTCTGGGTTGCTGTTAGGAGGGAAAGTACTTTCACACCCAGTTCAGGGCTGTAGTCAGTCTCCTCATTCTTATGGACACACATACATTGCACTCTGAGGTGATATATAGTAGCTCTTATTCAAGATTTCAGTATTCCTTTAATCCTACACAAGGGAACAGTTGTGCTGTGGATGAATGTACACACCCTTTTGTACAACTCTGTCTCCATGTCATTTTGTTTTGTGTTTCTTCTTTTTTAAAAAAAAATTTATTATTTTTATTTTGTGTGTATGAGTGTATTGCCTGCATGTATGTGAGTGCAGCCCTGTCGTGCAGTGCTGTGGAGGTCAGAAGAGGGCTTCGGATTCCCCTGGAACTGGAGTTAAGGATGGTTTGTAGCTGCCATGTGGATGCTGGGAATCGAACCCAGGTCCTCTGCAAGAGCAGTCAGTGCTCTTAACCACTGAGCCCTCTCTCCAGCCCCCTGTGTTTCCTCTTAAAGAGTCAAGTTGGTTTGTGATCATTTTTAATTTACCATTGATTATAGCTGGGCTTGGTATCCCGCACCTTTGATCTCAGCACTCGGGAAGCAGAGGCAGGCTCTGTGAGTTCAAGGCCAGTTTGGTCTACATAGCAAGTTCCAGGCTAACTAGGGGCTACAGGGAGACCCTTTCTCAAAAAGACCAGCTACAGGGAAAAAAAAAAAAAAAAAAAAAAAAAAAAAAAAAAAAGAATATTGATTGTGGGTTGTGCCCTCTTCACAGATTTTACATCATCATTGTTCCCCAGCAGGAATAGCACTAACAGAGTCTACTCCTTGCTCCCTGGGGCTTATTTTCTCCTGGCACTGTAACTGTCTGGGTCTGATAGTGGGTCCCAGAAGGAAAGACATTTCAGACATAGAGCCCTGGGCTTGCTGCCAGCTTCACAATTTAGTTGCCAGGTGTTTCTTAGTGAGGGCTATTTTGAAGTTGCAATTTGGTTCTCATTCAAGGGTAACTAGAAGATGAACATGTTGAGGATCATTGTGTGTTTCTAGTGTGTTGTCTCAGTTATTCCTGCATACCAGGCTCTGAAGGGCCTGTGCAAAAGTAGAAAGCACAGCATTGGATGTGCAAAAATAGAGAGCACAGTGACGGGTGTGCAAAAGTAGAAAGCACAGCGACAGGCCCTGGAGAACCAGAAATACTTGCGCATAGGTTCTAGTTTCTGGCAAGTGCATTTCTGAAAAACATGAGTTAGAGGAGGGCAGGGGAAGTGTGTCCCCTTGCTGTTCCTTCTGCTCCTTGTCTTGTTCTCTTAAAGCGGAAGTTTTTCAGCACACAGCAATGATTCAAAGTATATTGGAAAGGATGTCCTCATAAACCAGGGTATAAAGATAAGCACTGAGCAGTAAAGTCCATTCTAGAAGCAAGGTGCTTGAATCTAGGCAAAGGAAAACTCTTAGATTGACAGGGCAGTGAGAGACTGACTTCCTGTTGAGTGAAAGAGGGTGAATTATCTGAGTGAGAAATAGATCATCTACCAAACGACTACAAAAGGAATCCTGTTGATCTTTGATGCTCCCTGCTCTCATTCTGTCCTGGATTTTGTTTTCTTACTGTGGTACAAGTATATATTGTATTTATATGTTTGGCCAATTTTCCTAGTTAATTGCCACTACATTTTTATTGTACTAGCTACATATTGCTGTTATTTCTCCAGAGAGTACTAATTGACAAGATCATGAGCAAATTATGTCACATCCTCTACTATTATTTTTTAATTATTTTACTGGTTTAATTTCAATAATCTGAGTATGTACTAGCAACTCTAATTAGATTTTTTTCTTCCTATATATTTATTAGTTGTATTTCTCTCATGTCCTTTACATGCATATATTAAAGTCTTGGGGAATTAACTTTAACTTTTAAAAGTTTCTACAGATATATTGAGAAACTAAAATCATATATATGTATGATTGCTGCCACATAGTAATAGCCATTTTTTATATTCTAAGTACTTCCCTCTGACTTTTTGAACATATATATTCAGGGTGTTCTCCCCCCTCCTTCTGTACTAAAGTTTGTTTGATTTTCTTTCTTTGTGTTTGTGTATATGTGCATGAGTTCATGTGTACACTTGTGTATGGATCAGAGGACATCTTGGGTGGTGGTGTTCCTTAGTACTGTTCACTTCTTTTCTCTCATTGTCTTAAAACTTGTTACAAGACTAGGCCCTAGGGATCTGCCTCCTCCACCCCCTCTAGCGCCCAGATTTTTGTTGTTAACCTGGGTTCTGAGATTAAACTCAATTCTGTATGCTTGCAAGGCAGGCTGATGAGCTCTCTCGTCTTTTTTTTAAATATTTATTTTTTTTGTGTGTGTGTATGAGTGTATTGCCTACATGTATGTGAGTGCACCTGTGTCGTGCAATGCCACAGAGGTCAGAAGAGGGCTTCAGATTCCCCTGGAACTGGAGTTAAGGATGGTTCGTAGCCACCATGTGGGTGCTGGGAATCGAACCTGGGTCCTCTGCAAGAGCAGTCAGTGCTCTTAACCACTGAGCCAATGAACAAATATGTAGTCACACACTAAGCTTTTTCATTCAGTGCTCTAATGTCTTCAGAAGGAAATTTCAGTATTTTTTAAGCTGGTAATTTATCCCTTTCCTGAAA